GTTTTGCTATTTTAGCTTTTACAGCTAAAAGCTAAAAGTAGCATAAAAATACAAAAATACAGCCAGTATAAAGAAGCAGAAATAAAAGGAAACAGGTTTGACCCATGTTGATCTTTTTTGAGCTCATTTTTAAAACCTTCTCATGCAAAGTTTTGATGATCTCTGGTCACACATTTAAGAGTTATTAAGACATTAAGATTTGAATATTTTTTATGTGAACGGTATTTCTGTAAACTGATCCATGTAAAATCAAAAGAAGTTCTCAGCACAGAGCTCTTAATTTGCATTTACTTTTTTACTTGCAAATACGTCTTTTAAAGCCTTATTTTAAAAAGTTATTGTATCAACTGAAAAAATAGATCCAGATGTTTTTCTTTTATTTTGACACCTGATTTATGTCATTGTTGCTCTTTATGAGACGTAGACTAAACAGCTTCTCTCCCACAGATCCGTGTTTGACCAGGACAGGATTCTGTCCGATGCAAATGTGCAGCGAGATTAGTGGGTCTGCCTGTGTTAGACTGTGTTTTGGATGTGCAGGCTGGGAGCTGTCGCCTTCGTCTTTGGATGTGACATAATGAGTCACAGTCAAATCTGAGATTGGCATCAGTTTGGTAACACACAGGAAGGCTCTAAGCCTGATTAACTTGTTAAAATTTGCCACATTAAACATCATTTGGCTGAATGTTCCACAGGCATGCAGCAATGAGATCAGCGTGGCCACTTTTTTTCTTTTAATTTGAAAACACCCACAGCAGTGAGTCATTGCGACCACTAGATGCCTCTGTTTGTTACCACAGGAATGTTGCACCATTGTCACTTCAATGTGTGCTAAAATGCTTTTACTTTTCTATTCAGTTTCTGTTTACTGTGATGGTGGCGTGTTGCTCTGATCTGTCAGGAAGTAACCATATCAGTTTCTGTTTTCCCCTGTGAAACAAAGTCTAACTGCTAGGAAGTAAAATCAACATGTGAGAACAAGGAAGTCATGCAAGAGTTTAAGAGAGGAGCACCAGATCAAAGCTTTCTTTCTTTATTGTTAATTAGTTTTAGCTGAAACCTTCTCACATAAAAGGATGATAGGGACCAGAAAGGATAGAGGTGATTTAACTGGAACAGTGGTAGAGCTGGTGGGGTGTGGCTCAGAGATAACTGGTTCTGAATGGTTTTCAGTTTAGTTTTGTGCTGTTTGAAAATTCGGTTTCTTATGGAAGCCCATTTCCGACACTCTGATTAAAATAAATAAATAAAACTTGCATCTCATAATTATGACTTAGCTATCTCATAATTATGAGATAGTATCTCATAATTATGACTTAGCTATCTCATAATTATGAGATACTATCTCATAATCATGAGATCCTATTGTGTCTCATTATGAGATTATGAGATAGTTTCTCATAATTATGAGGTAACTAAGTCATAATTATGAGATAGCTAAGTCATAATTATGAGATAGCTAAGTCATAATTATGAGATAGCTAAGTCATAATTATGAGATAGCTAAGTCATAATTATGAGATAACTATCTC